CACCACAGATTCCAACTGGGATGGGAGCAAATCCAGCAATGGCCATAAAGTGCACAAGGAGGCTCTTCCCTGATTCTTACAGCTCCAGATCCCACATGGAGCTGGAAACACGGGAGCAAAGAGTGGGAGCTGTGCAGACACAGCCCCAGTGCCGTGACAGCTTCAGCAGAGCATTAAAGGGATCATTTCCCTGCCTTGTCTCTTTATGTTCCCTTTATCTTCACATCTAATTCCTTAATTTCCTCGTGTCTGATGCTCTGGGAGTGCAGCAGCTTCGCCGTCTCTGTTCCAAACTGGCAGCACAAATGCACTTTTAGCTGCTCATGACAAGGTATAAGAGATGATCAGAGTGTCTCTCTCTCGCTTTATAACAGCAGCTATAAACGTTTAGGGGATAAAAACAACAACAACAACAACAACAACAACAAAAAAAAGGCAAATAAAAGCGGAGATTTACAAATGCTTCCCCCTCTCGGCAAATTCAGCTCCAGCCCTTTCTGCCTTTAAAAGGCAGGAAGAGTATAAATCCTGAAGGAAACGATATATTTAACTGGGTAAAATATTGGGACACAGAGAGTTTATGAAAAATGCTGCCCATTACTGGGCTCTGCTTTAGTACAGGGGATATATTTTATGAAGGGTTTTCGAGAAGAAAGAGAAGATACTTTGGGCTTTATTTGCATTTGTGAAGGGAAATATCTGTCTTCTGGATCTGCTCCTCCTCCCAACCCTGCAGCTGAATCGTCCCCATCACCTCCAGCCTCCCTGTAACCACAGAACCATAAAATCATGGAATTTTTGGGGTTGCAAGGGACCTTGAAGGCCCTCTTATTCATGCTTTTCCTTAATTCTCCATAAGTGACTTCCAGGGATGGTTTATTTTGGCTGAGCAGCTGAAAAGACGCACCAGTGCAGTTCATAAAGCTCAGAAAGCACAAGCATTAATAATAAATAACCCCCAAAAGCAGGTGGGTGAGGCAGCTCTTCCAAGGAATTCCTCACTGCAGGAACCACCACATTCCTGCTGCTCCAGCTCCATGAACTCGG